AAAATTGATACAAATGGTCCGACATATTTCAATGATATTTCAAACATCTTTGTCTAATTCCGTCTTACCAAAAAAGACTTCTAACCAGCACATGAAGGTTTGTCATGATGAACCGGGTATGAAGAATGAATCCATACTGAAGTTATTGACCAGCGGCTAGACGAAAGAAAGCAAAAATATATATTAAAAAATAAGATAAATTATATTTTAATGGCCATTAAAAGTTGATTGGTTGGAACAATGATTACAAATTATTATAGGGGAAAAAGAGAGAAGAGAAAAGTGGAAGATGCTTTAGCTTCTCAGAAGTTGAAAAAGGATCATCCGAAAGTATTTCTGGTTAGAATTGGATAGAGCAAATGAAAAGCAATATATTCCTAGACAAGATGATAAAAATTTGGTTAGTCTTTTTCATAGACAAGATTTGAATTATAAAAGAAAAGGTTTATTTTTTTATACCAGTGTATTTTTTTTCTTCCTTTTTCTTTCTCTATTTTCCTTAAATTTTTGAATCGACTTAGGTGGAGAAAAGATTTTGTTGTTCTTCCTAAGGAAATGAAAATAGAAAAATAGAAGTTATTAGTTTTTTTTTATAGTTTAGTTTCTACATTTAAAATTCTTGTTTGATCATTGTCTGTCCGAATCAATTTTTCACTAAATAATAATATCCTCGTGATCATAAATAATTTTGAAATAATTAGGGTATATGCCTACTTTTAATTTTAAAAAAAACTGAAAATATTTTATTTTTCCATTTTCTGATAATTACTTACACATAGCCCCCATTCGGTATAAATTAAAAATTCATAACAATTTCAAATTAAAGCCAACAATTAATTTTCAACCACACATTCATCAATTTTTATCAAAATTTACTAAAAGCATAATAAACTTTTCAAAAATTACTTATTTTCCATCATACTAGTGGACGCACGTGTGATGTACATGTTTCAATTTAATTGGTTACTTAATCGCGTGGAATGATTTTTAATTATTTTTTATAATGTTCGTAATTTTAGGTATATCGAAAAATTGATTTTTTATTATACTGTATGTCATGGTATTACGAGGATTTGAAATTCTTATGACATCCTAATACTTTCATCAGTCATATAGGCAAGAAACAAGTATTCACAGTGTAATCAGTTAAGATAATTTTTATATTTAAACTTAAATGACAATATATTTATTATTATCACATTTTAAGTTTTTTTTAAAAAAAATTAAATTGATCCAAATGGATATTCATAT